AAAAGAAAGAAAGAAATTTTCTTTTTAAAATTAGGTAAAATAGCTTTTTGGGGAAGAAATTCCAATCTCCAAAATTTTGATGGCTTATCTATATTTAGGTTATGTATTTATACATGAGCAATAAATCGACAAAATATTCAAAATACGAAAAAATCAACAAAATTTTACTAATATAAATATAATATTAATATCAATCATTTTAAATTTATTTAAAAATAGTGTAGCGATTATTTGTTAATTTAAATATTTTTTTCGAATTATTTTTTATTTTTATAACCTTTTCAAAAATATCAATCAACATCGATGTTTTATCAATATTTCTATCGACATTTTCATGAGATTGAGACCTCGACTTTTACATCAATATTTAAAACCTTGATTTAGGTTGAGTTGGTAAAATAATTGAAAAGTATAAAGTTGTTTTGTCATTTTGTTTATGTTATTTTTTAAATGAAATGTTATAATTACCTAAATATATATCTTAATTGAACTTTCATTCTATGTGACACAATCCTTTCTATATATTATTTAGATATTGTAATGTTTGTTCTTTGTTCTACAAATTCTCCCAAAGAACATCAAGATGGGGGTTTGTTGTGTGTGAACTGAGAAGATGGTATGAAGATTATCCCCAAGATTATTCCCATTAGTGCAACTAATTATATTCTTCATAAATGGATTTGGCACTATCACAAAAAGGGGCATTTAAATTATGAAAAATGCTCACAAACTTTATACAATGGTTGAAGGCCTACAAAATTTGCTTTTTCTAACACTAATGATGGAGATTGTTTATGGAATTAATATATATATATATATATTACGTTATTTTGAGCTTATAATAATATTTTACATCTTCAAAATAAGAGAATTGACTCTACTTTCCCGTCTTCTTAAAAAAAAAAAAAACATTTTAATTGTGTGGGTCCAGCTAAATCTACTTAGTGCCAGAATTTGGCACATAGATTACTTTTGGTAGTCAAGATTTGTGTTAATTATTTGTTCGGCAATTTAGAATATATAAATAATGTTTTATTTTTATTTTTTTGAAAATTTGATATAAATAATGTTATTAATACGAAGTAAAATCATATAATGTAACTGGGAGCGATTGATAATATGATTGATTGGATTATGTTTACAAGTTGACAATCTTTTATTTCTTTTTTTATTAGCTAAAGAAGTTGATGTTGATTTTATTGGCATATAGGGGAAGTGTCCATTTAGCTTTAAATTGTTTACTTTAAAAAAGCAAAAAGTTCTTTGACTCGAGACGTTCATATCCCAATTGAAAATTCATACCCATTCAAAATTTATAAGATGATATCATACTTGTCACAAATAAATAAATAACGTTGATTTTGATATCTGGACTCATTTTTTAATTATAATTATTTTAGAACTTTACAATAAACTTTTGTAACGATGATTAGAATATACCAAATTCAAAACCATCCACGCATAGAAATAGAAAAAAAAAAAATTAAAAGTAACCGTCTTGGAAAAGACTGAAAAAAAGACATTTGTTCATATAAAAAAAGACGTAAATTCCATTTAAAGAAAGCCATCATACAAATATTCCATAACAAGTAACAACAAAGATCCAGTATTAACACTTAAAAAATTCTGTCTTTTGTTTTAAAATTGGATAAAATCAACTTGAAATATGGAAGTCCCATCCCTTGTTGCTTACTCTATATTGAAATTGATGTTTAATAATTATATTTTAAATAATAAAATTATAGAACTTGGGAGGTTGAGTTTAATATATAATTATAAGTTTTATATTTATATTTATACAACCAAGTAAAAATACATATTATTTTTTTCTCGCGTGTAAGTTTTTTTTAATAGGTATATGATGTTTTTCTTCACAATCGAAATATATGATATGTTTTCCTCCTGAATTAAAAGATGTCTAGTTCATCAGACAAACGTAAAACGATTGAATTGTAGGTTTATTGGGTAGGTGTAGCGTGATTATGTACTTCTTACCCAACATGATAAGCTAGAATTATTGTAAGCTTTACAATTGCTTACTACAACTGGCAAAACATAAATTATTATTCATCTTGATTAAGATGAATATATTGATTTGAAATTGCATTCTTACATTGTATAATTTACTCGAGAGAGGAGGTCCACCAAACCCGAAACTTTTTAGATTCAACATTAATTGTAGGAAAAGCCATAGGAAAGAACACCGTTCCCATCATAACTTTGCGAGTACAATTAGCCTTGTGTGTGACCTTTCAAATGCCAACTATCCAGTTATAGGTCTACATCCATTAGAAATCGACTATATGTACATTCGTCACATGTCATATCGTTCCACAATTTCAAATGAACTTTGTTGTATTTCTCCAACCTCACAACTGTCCAATAACCTTAGCTATTTAAATGACCTTTCCGTACACCCAAAAGTCCATTCTTCCTCGAGGGCATGAATCAAAACAGTTCACCAATTATTTAAGTCAAATATCATTTGGACTTATTTTTTTCTTTCAGTACCTTACTTTACAGTATATTCTACATCACTGTCAATTAAGTCGATACGATAACGTTCTTATCATTTTCAACGTCAAAAAAATGTAACGATACATTTATCTCAATTTATAAAACTCCATCCAATTATTGGTTTGCTCTCTTTGGAGTTGTATGATAGGATCATTAATTGCAATACTAATTACAATATGGATTACAATGGATCAAACTGAAAGATGCAAACGGAAAGATAATGGGTCAAATTAGTATTACCCCAAAGTATGTGGGGTAATGTTGCAATTTTAACAAATAAGTAATTAATATAAAAAAAATAAAAATAAAAAGAAGAAGAAGAAGAAGAAGAAGAAGAAGAAAAAGATGAACACGGTTTCGGTTATTAACTTCTATTAACGGTACGAAATTACTGATCATCAACTGGATTTGGTAAAGTTTGAACGGAAGTCACGATCATAATCATATCCTAGCCAATCGTACTTCTTGTTCTATCCGGAATTAGTGATTCCGATTTCGATTTCGATCTCGATTTCGGCATGTTTCTGCGTTTTGATGAATGTAATCTGATTTTTCGCCGAATATGGTGACGGTGGAGCGCTGGTTTTCCGTTTGGATCGATCGATTTCTCTCTTGTTTGGGGTAAGCCCTCTCACTCTGGTTTTGGATTCTCAAGTTCTAAGGAGATCGAGCTCGAAAATTTGGAACCAATTTAGGCGAGCTAATTGAAGCATGCACATTAGATACTTACACACTGCTCTGGATTATCTGCAATTGATCAAACTTGTTGATATGGGGGAATTTATCTGCCCTGTTGCTTGGAAAATAGATACAATTGTACGGATACATGATATATAGGCCTTATGACTGCCATTATTCTTTGGTTGGCTATATTTTGGATGACTGTTTCAGCTGATTACATGAAGAATGATATTTCCTTCATGGAGGGATGTGTTTGTTGTGACGATACTTTCAGCTTTCCTTATGAAGTGGGTAGGAACTTGAATTAATTTTTTGGAGACTTCTTATGTAAGTAGATTTCATTTTATACACCTAGGGTTTCTTACTCTGCAATTAGGGAATCTTGGAAGTAGAAGAAACACCAGTTGGTTATTCTTAGGAAGGGTTTAGCTTTGGAAATGGAGAGGGAGGAGGTAGCTTCATAGTTCTTCCATGGATTGAACCTCAACACATTGTGCTAGCCACATTTTTAATTACGTTGTTAGTGTACTTCCTAATAAATCCTTTTCCGAGGAGACATTGTTAGAATAATGTTAGAAGTGGACATATTTGAGTGAAAAAATGGGATATTAAAGGAAACATAATCCAAGATAACCCAAGCAAAAGTGCAAAATGGATTTTTCTTCGTCTCGGCCATTTTCTGATATATTGAAGCTGATTGACTCTATATACATCTCTAAGTAATTGGTACAACCTCAAAGCTCTTAGATTGAGTGGATTAGTTATTAAGCTCGTCATTAGAGTCTATTCTTGCTTTCAAAAGAAAGCTTTTTAGTACTCAGTTTTATCAGATTTTGGAATGCAAGTTTTTGCATGGCCAAAGGAGCATCTCTAAGTAATTGGCAAGCATGTTGTATACACATACCTTGATTTATCAACTGGTTTATAATTCATCTTTCTTCATTCCACTATAAACTAATTCATCTCTCTATTCATTTTTCCTTAGTCATTGACTAGGTTCATTTTCCTCAGTTATATATTAGATAATGACCTACATAGTTGGTCTATTTCAAACTGCATTGAGGACCCAAAGCTTTGCTCTGGTATTGAATGCTTAGGCAATGATAAATGGCAGTATCCTGATGTTCATATTCATTCATGTGCATTTATCATTAACTTAAACTATTACATTGTTGTCTCTGTTCCAGAGTTTGTGTAAGACACAATTTTTTACATGTTTTTTTACAGAGGAAGTGTTTGTTTTTTGGTAGGGGCACTAAGCCTGCACCAGCCATCTCTGGGAATAATCAGAATGCAAAGATGCCTAGCATGTCAGATGACTTTTGGAGTACAAGCACATGTGATCTTGATGAGATGTATACGGCTCAGTCTCAACAAATCTCATCTATCAGCTCAACGAACCACAACCCTGATCATGGAGGTGGCACTGGCCATTTGAGCAATCATTCTGACTTTGTAAATCATGGTACAAACTCAGATCTTATGTTGTTCACTGTTTGTTGCAAAGAAAAATAGATGTTTTTTTTCTGGATGCTTGCTTGTGTATTCTTCATATAGTTTTAGCACCAGCACTTCTGTCGCTGTTTTAGTCTGGTTTTACGCAAGTCTATTTGTATCAATGAAAAATTAAACTTGGTTACGCAATTCTATTCTGGATTGCAGGTTTTGTCCTTTGGACTCAGACCAGGCTTGGATGGCTCGGAAATTGTGAGTCTGCTAAGAAAACTAAAAAGAACCATCTTCCAGGATTAAGGTGAGTTACTGTTTGTATCTACTTTTGACAAATTTACATACACATTCTATGTCATTAACCTTGCTGTTATATAAGATAGCTACGTGGTTATAATGCGAATGAAATTCTTTTCTTGTCGATCTTTCTTGCAATTAATTGAATATTTTCTTCTATCATTCTTTAGTTGGAAATTTTGTGTCATTAAAATCAGGTGGAGGTCAAATTTCCTGTGATTGTTTCCGAACTTTGACTCATATCAAATTTTTGTTCCTACTATAATTGCTTCATTTCTGTTTGCAGTTGGTATATGACTAAAGAACTCTTGCTGGAAAGCAAAAAACCTTTCCATCGGCGCATACCGTTATCTGTAAGTATGCCCTTTGTCTGTAATATGATGTTTTCTTTAGTTGACTACTCATTCAAATCCTCTGCTCTGAATATCTTATCATGATATAATTGACAGGACATGGTAGATTTTCTGGTAGAAGAATGGGAAGAAGAAGGGCTGTATTATTGAGCCAGTATATCAAAAACCGTCACCTTGTGAATACCCCATGACCATGACGTTTCATGTTCCGTAGTTTAATACATATGCTACTGCCTTAACTTGCAATTGGTTCAGTCTAAGTTAACTTACAAAATGACACCACCTGGTTTACTAACCTTCTCTTTTGGTACATTGGAGAGCTCTAGGGGAGGGGCCAAGTGTAAAATAACCCAAAATCCAAGATCATCTTCTGAATGATCGGCGAGCTAGACGGTGAGCTACCTCTGGGCAATCAGCTAATATATACTTAGCATACATACATATAAAGCTTTCTTCGTCGTTTTTTTCTCATCCATGACAATAGTTAAAATGTGCAGAAAGATCAACCTTGCAGTGTGCTTGGATGAAGCACAATGTTGATCATCTGACTTGTTGTGATTGATGTAAAAAAACAGATATTGATCTCTAAAACAAACTTTCTTGTAGTTTTGAATTTTGATAATACTGAGTTTGATTTTGTGGTGATATTACTGTCAACTGTGTTGGATGGTAGAGAACAAATAATAGACAAAGTCAGGAATCAATTGTCTTCTTGTCTGGTGGTTGTGCCATTAAAAGACTAGAAATTTTGATGGATTTATGGTTGAAGATGCCAAGATCAAGATGCTTTTAAAACCCTTTTTTCAGGAAAGAATGCTTACTGTTCAAGGATCTGGAGCCCACCCTGAATTTTCTCTCATTTTCCCCCTTTGAAAATCAAATTTTCTCTCATTTTGATAATAGAGAATGTAGCATAAATATTCTGACTCAGAATGTGTACTCTCCGAGTCACAATTAGAGAAAAAGAAGTGTTCTTTGTTTTGAATTTCAATGGCTGATATAATCTCTATTTGGACGGATAAATCATTGGAAAGGGAAATATAAAGAACTTTTTAGGCAATTCAATTCAACTCATCTCGAGTTGGCCAAATTGGCAGCGATATGTTGTGAACAATTACTTGGGTGTTAACATCTATTTCATGTTGACTACCCTCAAAATTCGATAGCTTTTTAATTTTTTGAAAAATATAAAAGTTATTTAATTTTTTTGGTAGTTTTCTCCTGTTTGTCACTAAGTATTATTCATATGTTAATAGACTCGTATATCATCTATTCTTACAGGGGGATAATATCCTATAATTTTTATATGCCATTTATTTCAAGGTAAGATATTTTACGATTAAGTAGATATATGTGTTGAGAAATCAATTGAGTTGCTCGAGAGTTATTAAAGATATTATTTAAACGATATATTTAAAAATAAATTGAGGTGTGATGTATTGTACCTCTCACACTTACTTTTTTTTTTCTTTCTTTTTTAAATTACTAGTTAGATGATGTAAATGATATCTTATAAAATAATTGAATGGTTTGTTGTTCAAGGTTGAAAATCTCAATTGTTATTTTATCATTTTTTTAGGATAATGATCATTTTTGTTTTTTCTTGCCCAAATTTACCATTCAGCCGCAAGATTACATCTCGTGACCTTTTATTATTATTATTATTGTGTTTGATTTGGTTAAGTGGATAATTAAAATATACTTAATATGACGTATTTTCTATTTTAGTTCATTTTGGTCCCAATTCTTTCAAATGTCAATTTTGGTCCTTATACTTTCAATTTTTGTTTATTTTAATCATTGGACCCTCTAAATGTTCAATTTTGATCTCTGCACTCTTAAAAAGTGATTCTTTTGGTCCCTTAATTTTTAAATCATCTCATTTATTTCGATCAAAATTTTAAGATAACACTTTACTTATTAAATTTTTTAAAATGTAACCATAAAATTTGTATTAAAGAGGTTCCATTAGATACAAAATTTGATTTAAACCTATATAATGTTTGATTTTATCCCCATAAAAAGGAAGGTGGTCCTTTTTTGACTTTTGGATGCCATTAAAAGGTCGGATGAGACATGGTTTAGACATATTGATGGGAATTACTTATCGAGATTAATTACTTTTTCTTCTTACTCTTTTAATTAAGTGCATCCAATTAGGTTCACACCTTCAAAGAGATGAAGCCAAATGGAGAGGATATCTTGTATTGTATGTTGGGGAGTTTGGTCTTGATTAGGTTGTGTTCTTTCCCTATCAACTATTCATTTTCAAGAGAATTTTAGTTCATTTTATACTTTAGTCATGTGTTTTTGTCGCGTTTTTTTCTCTCTCGAATATATTAAGATACAAAAATTTCCTATCAATGTATGGTTGGTAAAATAGTAACTTAGGAGTTGTTCTAGATGCTGCAAAACTTACTTTTGAAAACTACAATGAGATGAACGGTAAGAGTTTGGTTGTAAATTTGAAATTATTATTTTTGAATTCATTATTATTTGTTTAGTCGATGTGTACAGAAGCTAACCGAGATACTCACGGATATAAAAGATTCCAAATAACTCTCTAACCCGAAAATGAGACTAGAAGTAGGAATAATTTGATTTTTTCTACAATAAAATAAAATAAACCCTTTAGATAAGATTAATAAATAAAAATATCCTTCCCCTACCTAAAAAAGGGGATTTTGTTTCTATAAATCCATTCTTTTCATATGAGGAAATTCAAAAGAAATTCAAAAGATAAAGGAAGAGGTTCATGGTTGCCACCCATTTTCCATACATTGAATTTAAAAACCCAAGTGGTAGAATTCAACTTGAAGATACACACATAAAGTTTTGAAACCCTAAATTAAATAATTAATATATGATTAAAATATGGTGTGAAACCATAACATGCTTTTTGATTGCAGAACTTTTAATTATGGATTTTGGTATTATAATAATAATTGGGCATGATGGCAAAACCAACCTTGGGATTCATTACAATGAACCTTCCCCTTCCCAAATGTTCAAACTTCAACAAAACATATCCAAATAGACCAAATAAAACCATGTGATTCTCTCTCTCTCTCTCTCCACATGAGAATTTGAATAATTATTTCTTTTTTTCTTTTTGAAGATTCAATATGATATTTGGAGATTACTTGATGATCCGATGAATCTTGATTGTTTGATATTATAATGTGTTATTTTTTAATTAGTGTATATATAGACATGTAATTTGGTGAAATTAAAATTCAGAGATCTTGATTGGATTTCATCGTATCCACGTAATTTCTTTTTATATTTTTTTATTCTAAAAACTTCCCATCAATATTACAAATCTGAAAATGAGATTCAATGCATATGTTAACATTTACCTTGTAATAGAAAAATGTGATTTTGCAAAGAACGAGACCAATGTAGAGATATATATATATATATATATATATATATATATGCATGCACTTTAAATCTTTTAAATTATTTATGAGAGAGACATTTAAAATTTCGTTAAAGACTCATATCTCCACCCCTTAATTAAGAAAATGATAAATATGGAACACTAAAATTTAGTTGCTATCAGTGAATGGATAAATTGTCTCCGACACATATTGTGATTAGATTTCACTCGTAAAAGGGATGCTAATTAACATTTAAGTATTAATTGTGTTTATTAATAGTCAATCCTAATCAAAAGAGTTTCAATTAATGTACCCTATTTAATTTAATCTATGAGAGGAACAGTCCTAGTTATCATTATATAACTCAAGTAAAATAAATATTGAGACAGATTTTGGCTAAACAATTAGATATGTAATACTATACAGTAAATTATTAAATTAATTTTAATTAGTACTAGTAGTGTAAGCTTTGATTTTGACAATAGGAGAATTGACATAGATACCTATACTCGGATCACCCAATTGACTTGAACTTACTAATATTTTATGAAAACTTAATAATATTAAAGTAGACTTTCTTTTCTTCTTTTGAAATATTGGCGAACGAAGGCACTAAACTGATTCATCTAGAGACGGATTCCATGGAGACTGTTCAATTTCTTCCAGGCAAAATAGATGTTTTCACATAAATTGCTTGGCTTCTAGAGGATATATCAGAAATTGTGACGGTGGAAGGAGAATTAGATCTATCCAACATGTTAATTAGAGGGCCTCAAATTCGGTAGCTCGTGAGATTGCTCGGTTTGCGATGGAAGGAGGGATAGAGATGGAGTGGTCTTTCAGATCTCCCACTTTGGTTATCGAGTATTGGGGACTCTTATTTTTCTTAGTTTTGTTTCGTTCTACATTATTCCAAAACAAAAAAAAATTGTCGAATTTTAAAAGGGTTACATATTTGATCTAACTGAGTAATAAACTCATTTTCTCTTTTAACCTATAAATTAAATATACAACGTATATACAACATTAAAAAAGAACGTAGCTATTCTAATGTCTTTTTTTTTTTTTAGGTTTCTTGAGATTTGCAAAAAGAAAAAGAAAAAATCAAACAAATTGAAAAAGAGTAACAGCTTGATAAGAGGTTCACAGCATGGTCTTCCATGGCTTCTCACAGGTGGACATTATCTTTTTCATTTCCCAAATTTCATAAAATTTTATAAAAATAGGACAATACAAATCCAAATCAAACTCAAATATAATATAAAACACACTAAAAAATAGATTTATGCTATATTTGAAAAAAGAAAAATTGTTGCATTTTTTAAAATACATATTAAATTTTTACTATATAGTGTAATTTCTCAAAATTTAAGTCACAATAAATGCCTGAACTCAACAACATAAATACCAAAACAAAGAAAAAAAACAAAAATTTCAACGCAAGAGTTCGAACACAAGACCTCCCGCTTTGATACCATCTTAAGAATAAACAAACCACCACTCAACCCAAAAGCTTAAGCTAATAGGTTGGATAAATTTAATTCATTTATATGAATTCTAACAAGTATCTAGCGAGAAATCATAAAAAAAAATTTAAAATGTCTGACACTGGATACAAGATTAAAATGTGAAAATTTTCTTTTGTAAATATATTAAAAATGTCAGACAAAATTTTGCTCATTTTAATTCATAAAATATATATATATACATATATATATATATACATACAAGTAACACCTAAAGGAAATGTGGAAAACGATCTACATATATATATATATAGTTGATATTCCTTTTTCTTTACTTTAAAAAAGAAACTCAAGTGTAAATGATAAGCTTCAATCATTAAATTCACTAAGGGTGGTGACAAAATTTGTTAGAAATTTTTATTTACAAATTAGAAGCAAAATTCACCCACTCAAAAAGAATCGATCCATAATCGTACATCGTACTATATATTACTATATGTCAAATATTGACAACGTCCTAAATTATTCACATACCACATCAATTTAATAATAAAAATTAATAATTGAAATATTCATAAAAACACTAAATACAATTATTAATTATTCAAAACTCCGTCAAATAACTATATGCTTACCCTAATCTAACATATTCTACAATAAAATAGATTCTTCACGCCAATTTGAATCTATCTCAATTAGTTAAGGTATGTATTCCGATCAAAAAAGTTATTGGTTCGAATCTTCGTTTTAATATGAATCGCTTCCATAGCGAGAATTTTTTTTATCTCGTCCTGCATTTCGGTGGATATAATCCCAATAAATTATATTTTTGGTATGTAGATATGGTATTCTTATATTTATTCTAATCTAATTTTCAATTATTGAGTGCTATATTTATCCCAAAAAAAAATATATTTGTTAAAGAAATCAAAACCTAATCTCTAATTGGTCCGAGTGCTATATTTACTGATTCTCTTTTTTTTCCCCTTTTTTTCGAAGGGTAATTATGTAATTTAATGATGTGAGAGGAGGAGAAAGGGAGGGAAAAAAAAAGAGAGAGAAATCCCTAATCATGATTGAAATGGATCCAAAAAATGAATATTAAAAATAGAAAAAAGGCTAAAAGTTTGGATAACATGAAAAATAAGAAATAAGAAGTGGGGGCAGAGAAAAATAGAAATACATTGAACTTTTAACCTATTCTTTCTTTGGAGGCCTTATTCTGACTCAAATTATATTCAGCTCAAATTGTCTACTTGCTCCTTTGGACCTACAAATTCAAATTATATAATATTAGATTCAGATTCATTGCATATTTACACTATAAATTGTGAATATTACACAACCATTTGGCTTGGAAGGCCACCTACCATCAAATTTTTTTTAATTTTTGTTTTGGTTCATCTTTAAAAAATTTTAACACAAATTTTATACCTAATGAAAATCTTTGATATAAATTTATGATTACATTTCAAGAAATTCAGTGAGCGAAGTGTGGTGCTAAATTTGTGATAGAACTAAATTAATGATCAGATCAAAACTAGTAAAAGTAGTATTTTAAACTTTTATGGTTTCTAAGTCAACCTCCTCTCTCTAAATTAGTTGACTAATTCTTTGTTTGGGGAAGCAAAAATTAAGGGAAATGGGTAATTTATGTGTAGTGCAAATGGAGGAAAGCATTGCTACCACAATTAATTGATTGGCAAACAAGATTCATGGATACCTTTCAAAATACCATTAAGAAATTTGGGTCTTTTTTTTTTCTCTTTTTATGTGATGAAATTTGGTTAAGTGTTCTACTTAAGTTGAGTACTTTAATTTATTAATTTTAATTGTTTTTATAAGTGATATCGGGTGGGGGATCGAACTCACAGTTACTTGATTGGAGATATATGTCAATTATCATCAAAGTATATGGCAGGTGTTTAAAAATTGTTGCGACTATATTAGTGTGACGATATTCTTATCTATTATATTTAATACCAACCATTAATGACAATGGTTATTGAAATTGATAATGTAAAATATATGGTTGTTGTTCATATATCTCATGAAAATTGATGCTCACATAAATAATTAGTTGAATTTACAAAGGGTGAGTGTGTCAAGCTTTATAATAGATTTTGCTTTTGTTGAATGTTTAAAAGAAAAAGTATGTTCCAAAAAATAAAAAATAACCAAAAAGTTAACAATACCTATAATAGTTTTATCTATAATCTTTAGAGATTAGAACCCATCTTTTTAAAGTGGAAGAATAAAATTTTTTGAAATTTCAGAGATCAAAATTAAATAAGTATGAATTTTATAAACCTATATTTTATGAATTTTGTATTTTTTTTAATCCCTTTTTCTTTTACCATGGTGTCAGCCCTTTTTTACCTTAAATTTTAATCGTTACATATTAAAATATAAACATAAATCATTACACAATTAAAAAGTAAAAATCAAAGTCTAAATAAGGTAACTAGAGTCGACGAAGTAATGAAGTAAAAAAACATCATATGCTATTTATTATGTATCACATAATACAAATAATTATTTCTAAAAAATGGTTAAATTTTACCATTGCAGTCTTCAAACTTTTAAAGTTGTGGTTAATAAATCTCCCAAACTTTTAGTGTTGCATTTGATAGATACCTTAAATTAAAAAAATGTTTAGTAAACTTCTGAACTTTCAATTTTATGTCTAATAGATTCCTAATCTATTAGACACAAAATTAATAAATTGGAGAACTATTATTTTGTGTCAAATATGTTATTGAATTTTAAAAATGAGTCTATTAAACATAAAATTGAAAATTCAAAACTTATTAGATACCTTTTAAAATTCATAGACTTATTAAACACAATATTAAAAGTTTAAAGACCTATTATTTATTTACAATTTTTTTTTTTGCAAAAGGGTATTTTTTTTTAATATAGATTTTAGGGTAACTCATAGCTTTATCCTAAGGTACATATTTTTAAAAGTTTAAATACTTCATTAAATACAACTTTGAAAGCTAATACGAGCTTGAGCACTAATTGGCACATAATGGGTTTAAATTCTTCCACCCCCATTTGTTGTACTAAAAAAACAAACTTTGAAAATTTAGAGACTAAATTTAGCCCCATTTGATAATCATTTTGTTTTTAATTTTCTATTTATGAAAATTAAGCTGGTAAACACTAATTTCACTCTTTCTTATATTCAAAATCTAAGCAAAAATTTGAAAATAACACAAAATAGTCTTAAAAAACTTACCTTTGTGTTTAAATTTGGTTGGGAGTTGGAATCTGTTTCTAAAAAAGATTAAAACTACACCATACCAAAAAATTGTGAGTCCAAAGAAAGGTAATTAAAATCCACTAGAACATTTTCTTCATTGGCGTATTTAGTATTACCATCTACATCTACTCTATCTTCAACAGCTCATCATTCAACCTTTTGCTTGGGATTCATGCACTATTGAAACCAGAATATTATAAAAAGAAAGAAGGTGGGGGAGAGAGAAAAAGAAGGGGGAAGTTCCGGTAGTCGGTAATGGTATAGTTGGTTGGGCAGTGGCAAAGCGCGAGGCAAAGGCAAAGCAAATGGGGGGTCTGATTGAGAATAAGCGGTTTCTTGGAGAGATACATTGCACATTCACAAACCCACCACAAATGCATAATCAAAATATGAATTTTCTCAGCGATTGTGACTGAGAATGACATCTTCCCTTTTTCTTATTTTATGCATTAATCAATTCATTCGTCGAAATATATAATACTCTTCTCTTTCTTCTTTCCACAAACCAAATATTTTCCCCCTTCCTCTTTTTTCCCCCTTTTGCCTCTCTGGGGTTCTCTGCAAATGCTCTTCTCCTTTCTCCCATTCTTGATTCTTGCCTTCTCTGCGACTTCCGAGTTCGATTTCTGCTCTGGGGAACCGTTTCCGTTTCGATTCTTGTGGGTTGTTGTTGTTCTTCTGCTGTGCCCATGCCTGCTCTCGTCAACTACGGTGGTGTGTTCTTTGATCTTTTTCTCTTTTTGGTTTTGATCTTGTTTGGTTTGGGAGAGGTTGTGAATCTATTTGGCTTGATGGGTCTTGATTTTTTTTTTTGTTTATGAAGCCGTTTCTGAGCTTTTATGATCTGGGTTTCTTTGCTGAGGGCTGTTTTTGATGGAGAAGTATAGTTTTGTAGAAAACTTTAGCTAGTTTGTTCTTTGTTAAGAGTAATCTGAAGATATCTTGTATATGAATCATGTTAAATATCTCTGAACTTGCTTGTTAGATTTCCAAGTGGATCTGTTTCAGAATTAGTTTCTATTGAGAGTGTCCATGGATGAAATTTCTTTACTTATGAGCAGAACTCCATAGTTGAGGCTTTTTGGAGAGAATAAGAGTTTGCATTTTAGATGATTTAGATTAGATGAAGCAGTTTTGGCTGATGTGTTTGTTATTGGATTTTTTAGGTGATGATGAATACTACCCTGGGGGTTCCTTTTACCCGAGCCCCATGGATTTGGATGGCTTGCTGCCTACTAGCTCTCATGTCGATCTGTATTTTCGTCCTAGTAAGAGAGCTCGGATCGGTGCCCCAGTTGTCTTTGGAGGAAGGGAACTTGAGCTGGAGAGTAGTAGACCTTCCATTGAAGCTCTTCCTGATGAATGCCTCTTTGAGATCTTCAGGCATCTGCACAGTGCTAGAGAGAGGAGCTCATGTGCGGGCGTCTCGAGACGGTGGCTTATGCTTTTGAGTACTATTCGTAAGGCTGAAATTTGCAAGGAGCAGCAGAAGCCTGAATCTGATGATATCTCGATAATGAACGGTGACGACGATCAAGAAGTTGAAAGTAATGGTTTTCTTACAAGATGTTTGGAAGGAAAGAAAGCTACCGATGTACGACTTGCTGCTATTGCTGTAGGAACTAGTGGACGTGGGGGTTTGGGCAAGCTTTCTATTCGAGGAAGTAACTCTACTCGTGGAGTTACCAACCTTGGTCTTTCGGCAATTGCCCATGGCTGCCCTTCTCTTCGAATGCTTTCTCTGTGGAACGTGCCAGCCGTTGGGGATGAAGGATTATTCGAAATAGCTAGAGAATGCCATTTGCTTGAAAAGCTTGACCTCTGCCACTGCCCTTCAATCTCAGACAAAGGTTTGATTGCAATTGCAGAGCGATGCACTAATTTGACCTCTTTAAATATTGAATCATGTCCAAAGATTGGAAATGACGGTCTGCAAGCAATTGGAAAATTATGTTCTAAACTGCAGGCGATCTCTATTAGAGATTGTCCTCGTGTTGGGGATCAAGGTGTTTCGAGTCTATTTGCATCATCTTCTTGTGACATGACGAAGGTAAAGATGCAGGCATTGAACATAACGGATTTCTCGCTTGCTGTGATCGGACATTATGGCCAGGCCATAACACACCTTACCCTCAGCGGTCTTCAGAACGTTAGTGAGAAGGGATTTTGGGTCATGGGTAGTGCTCAAGGCTTGAAGAAATTGGCATCGTTGACAATTGCATCTTGCCGAGGGATGACTGATGTGAGTCTCGAAGCGATGGGAAAGGGAATTGGAAACCTGAAGCAGATGTGCATCCAAAAGTGTTGTTTTGTATCAGACAATGGATTAACAGCTTTTGCCCAAGCTGCAAGGTCGCTCGAGACCTTGCAACTAGAAGAATGCAACAGAATCACCTTACTGGGCATTGGTGGCGCCCTCTCGAACCATATCCCGAATTTGAAGTCTTTAAATTTAGTGAAGTGCATGGGGATCAAGGATATAGCTCAAGAAGTAACATTGCCCTCTATTTGCACCTCCCTTAGATCCTTGTCCATCCAAAACTGCCCTGGCTTTGGTAGTGCTAGTCTTTCAATGGTTGGGAGCTTATGTCCTCAACTTCAGCACGTTGAATTGATTGGCCTTTACGGTATTACCGATACTGCAATGCTTCCACTTCTCGAGACCTGCCAAGGGCTTGTAAAGGTGAACCTGAGTGGCTGCATAAATTTGACAGACGGAACGATTTCAACATTGGTTAGGCTGCACGGAGGAACCATCGAGGTTCTGAATCTTGACGGATGCAGAAAGATTACCGATGCGAGTTTGGTGGCTATTGCAGATGGTTGCTTATTACTGAATGAACTAGATGTTTCGAAGTGTGCAATTAGCGACGCAGGGCTTGCATTTCTTTCTTCTTCAGAGCAGATCAATTTGCAAGTCCTTTCCCTGTCGGGTTGTTCTGAAGTATCAAACAAGAGCTTTCCTTTCCTGGAAAGATTGGGGAAGTCACTCGTTGGATTGAATCTCAAAAACTGCCACTCGATCAGCAGTGGCACGGTTGGGATGATTGTTGAGAACTTATGGAGATGTGACATTCTCGTCTAACCATGGATATTAAGCTTGGCAAGGTAGTTAAAAAGATACGAGTAGATATCGACAAGTTCCCAGTTACAGTTTCTTAGTTACAGTGGTATAGGTACATCAAATATGTATGGTCTTTTTCACACAGATAGTAGCATTCAGCAAAGTCTGTTCTCCGTAAACAGCGGGCTTCCCGGCAGCGCAATCTTTCCGTGGCTCGGTTGTTTTAGGGAACTATGGCCAATTACCTTAATTTTTTGCAAGCTTTCTTCTAGCTTGTTCAAGTGTTTTGGGTCTCCATTGATGGAGGCTTCCTCTTTGATGGCCATGGCTCCTTAAGAAAATACAATCACCAAGTCACAGCTAAGATTTTCCTGTCTTTGTACTCCCACTGATCTAGCTACTGGTTTTGTCAAGCTGAATGTTCTTCTATAACTTCCTGTTTTAGCTTACACACATTACTTCGATGTAATCTGGTATAAGCTTTATATATACTCTCCTGTCATATAACTCTGTTGTGTTTCAAATAAGTCTTGTTTGTTCGGTTAAATGTCCTCGTTCTCGTCCAGTTTCAGTCTTTCGTGTTCTTTTGCATCTGCCGTGTTGCTTCGAGTGGTTGTAAGTGTGTTAAATGTGAGCTTTGGTCTCGGTAGTGTGTTCGTTCGGTCTGCGATCGCGACCTATGGTATCGTCGTTTTCGGTTTAATATGTGCACGTTGTAACTTGTGTGTTTACTAAATAATGAGAAGACGTGTTCTTCTTTGTTTTGTAAATTCCTCTCTTTGATATTTAACTTTTTGGCAAATTAGTGAAAAGTAGTCACATGAACGTCAAACAAAACAGAAGAGAAGGCAAAGATTGAGTGCTAATTTCAATCAAGTTCTTTTCTCATCTTTAAGTTTTGACATAATGGAACTGTTTTATCTTTGGGCCATTTTGGGACAGGAAAACAAGTTGTCTAATAATCAAGGATTTGGGAAATCTTGAAATCACCCACATGCCCAAGGAAATACGTCACCGGTTTTTTGCACTGGAATCTGTCAACGTTCAACCTATGAAGAATCTATAGTAGGATGACCTGTTAGTTATCATGTGACCCATTTTTTTTTTAGGTTTAGTCCATGAATCTATAGTATGATGACCAGTTCTCTCCGGCCGGAACAAGTCAAGTCGGTAAAACGAAAACCTCCTCAACTTTGGAAGTCTCCCAACTTATTTTGATAACTAAAATATCAAATAGGTTGAATTCAAATCCATCACCTAAATAAGCCGTATTTATAAATATAGCTCAAGGGTAATTATCAGTAGTGATGTATGAATGGTAAAATACAAATGAATGGGTAAGAAAAATTATTTCCTATTTAAAAATCTTTCTAGCTTTTTCTAAATTTTCTATGTGGCCTATATTTGAATTTCAACCAAACAGCATGTCCCTGTGGAAAAGAAATCAAAATTGCTTTTGGCTTTGCCCTTTCTCAAATTCATGAATATTTAGACTTTGCTGCAAAAGTTTGACTCTTCCAACAACTGAAGAGCCAACAACTTTCCTCTATGTGTTGGAGGATATTCTATCAAGTGAAACTATTCCCTATATCCCAAAAAAAAAAAAAAAAAATTATTCCTTATTAATGATTTCTATTAATCATCTAATAAAAACTTAAATTGAACCCAACATCTTACCAGTTACACGTAATTCAAATGCTTGTTTATATACGCATCTATTCATAAAATAAATAATATATATAGAAGGTATATATCTAGTTACTCTAATTTTTAAATCGCGTGTATCAAGTCCAATTCAAATTCAAAATAGGTCATTTGAGATTTCTAATGCTAAAATTTAAGGAAAAAAATCATTTTTTTACCCCCATAGCTTAATTAGTTAATTTTAATCTTAAATTTAGAAATTATTTGTATTAACCTTAATTGGTATAATTACTACGTCACAAAACTATGTTAAAATCGAGTCACTTGCATGCCAAACCGAACCATACCAATATTTGAACTTACCCACAAAATCAAGTCATAAAAAGAGCTCACAAATTTTACTTGAAACAACAAACACAACTGAAAAGAACCAATATATTTCAACATGTAGATTTATTAATTTCACCATTAATTTAACTTTTGAGTAGCGTTTTATTTAAACTTTAGGAATCAAAATAAAAATTTGGGACTTGAAAGTTATTTAATTAAAAGCGAAAACAGCACAATAATAGGAAGCTATTTTAAATATTAAAGTCAGCCATCCAAATAAAAATCCAAAATTTAAAAAAAAAAAAAAAAAAAAAATCTGACGAGTGGAGCGTGAGATTCACGCGTTCATAATTCAATCCAACTTGCTCACGGCGTTAAATCACCCCGTTTCATTTCTCACGATGAGGACCGTCCAAATTCCAGCACTCCAGAAATTAACGGTCTGGATGCGTTCTTACGTGCGGGACCATGGTAAGGGCTCAGTGGCCTACCGTGTAGAATTAACCGTCAACTACTTCCCGCGTTTATTTCCCGGCCATGGCCAACTGAAAATTCTAGGCCACGTTTGGCAAATTGTTAAATCGTTCTAATTCCAAGTTTGATTTAGTCTCTCTTAATAATTGTTGGAGTCAATTGTGAATCGATATTGTTTTATCAGTTAAAAAATATATTTCGTSATTATATTTTAATATAAAGTAACGATTTAGTCAATGATTTAATATTTGTAATTTCAAATTGGTAACCATTTAATCTCTATAATTTAAATTTTATAATTATTTAGTTTTTATCGTGAATTTTTTTTTGTTAAATTTCTTATATATATAAATTAATATATCGATGATCAAATATATTTATAAATTATAAAAACTAAATTGTTATATGACAAAAAATCATGGTAGCCACATACCTATGATTTAATATTGAGTTTCTTTAGCAATTAATAGTAGGATTAAACATTTATTCCATAAAATTAGTTGAGGTGGGCATTAATCGACCCAAACACTCACACATATCAAAATAATATATATAAGATAAATAATCAATATCAAAATAATATATATAAGATAAAAAATCAATACTTAATTATGACGATTTTTTCTAAAGTCAAGTTGCCAAATAGATCCCTAATTTCAATTTCAATTCTACACTTCTTTCCTATAAAATATCATCCACAGAACTCTCCCTCTCAGTTGCGGAGAAAGACAGAGAGAGGGTTTTGTATAGTTCTAAAACCCTCTCTTTCTCACAATTTCTCTCTTTGATCATGCTTCTCAGAAGTGCGTCCACTCCAATTCTCAATTCATGGAAACCCCAGTTGAAAGAAACTTCGCCGGAGGCTGAAATTGTCCTCCAATTCCCTAAATCGCGACCCGTCTCACTCTGTGCTTCTTCGAAATCATCGCCGCCGCATCCGATGATCGGTGGTTCGGGAAATCACAAGATGATGCGGATTCGTTCAGAATCCGATCTGAGTAACCTTCCGGTGGAGAAGAATACTCCGTCGATGGAATTGCTTCGGCGGTTTCACGAAATTGAGGAGAGGGAAGAAGCTGTGGAGAGTACGAGAATGGCGTTTTTGGATGGGGGATTGTGCTGTAGTGTGGACGAAGGCGGAGTGGGCGGTGTTGGTTGTGGTGGCGGTGGTTCGGATGGTGGAGGTGATGGTTGCTCTGGTTCTTGGGATTCAAATCATGAGAACGACAGGACCGATTTGTATTATCAGAAAATGATAGAGGCGAACCCTGAGAATTCGTTATTACTAAGCAATTATGCTCTGTTCTTGAAGGAGGTACATGATTTGAAATTCGATAGTCTTCAGTTTTACTTGAAATTCTTTGCTATAGATTTGGTTTCTTCAGGAATTGTGGTTAGAGATGTAAATGAGAGATGGTGGTCCATTTTGCTCTTCACTGTGAAGGGGGGAAGTGGAATTCTTGTTGACTCAAATAGGAGCTTTTGCCAAAATTTGACCCTTTATTATAGTTTCTCTTGATGTTTTAGGAATCTAGATTGCCTGCTCTGATGTTTTTCTTAAGATCTTTGTTTCAGAACTGTTATCTTAGAATAGGCCTGGTGGGAAATGCTGGGAGATGAAAAAAGTTAACTTTAGGAATCCATTTGTGTTAAAAAGAAAAAATACACAATAAAGTTTATGGTAGCTTGTTAACACCGTTTGAAAGTTGTTTTTCTCCCAAATGGCTATGAGATATAGGGAACTCTCAAGTCTCAAGTATGGTTCTGATAGAAGGAAATTACCTGTGTTTTGAGTGGAATACCATTGTTTCTGATTCAGAAGTTCTTATAAGAATGTGAAATGCCTTGGAGTATACTTTGAACCATTGTTTTCCTATTATAGGATTGTGCATAAAAGAAAGAAACTTTGCTAAAGACCTGCGACTTGTTCTAGTTTCATTCTCAGCAATGTGTTGATTTGCTGTGCTGAACAGGTTTGTGGAGACCTGATAAAAGCTGAGGAGTATTGTGGAAAAGCAATCTTGGCAAATCCGAACGATGGAGATGTGTTATCCATGTATGCCGATTTGATATGGGAGAATCATAAGGATGCCTCCCGAGCAGAGAGTTACTATGATCAAGCTACCAAAGCTTCCCCTGATAATTGGTGAGGAACAACAAGAAAATTATCAAAAAAATCAGATGATTCTGCTTTTTCATAAACTAAAGCTATGTAAACATAAACTTCTGCACATATTTTGTGGGAATCTGAAAACTTGATCTGCAAAATCTTGTCTCTAGAGCAAAAGAAAGAGAGTTTTCTCTCTCTTTGTGAATCATTTCTGTTTAACTCTGCAAATTGTTGATGTTTGGGATATTTAATGAATTTGTGGGGTTCATCAAGTTTGGGATGTTTAATTGGTGCAGTTACGTTTTAGCATCCTATGCACGGTTCCTTTGGGATGCCGAAGAAGAGGAAGATGAGGACAATGAAGAAGTAGAAGATAGAGTAGACAGCTTTGGCAAGCCAAGTTCACCTCCTTTTGTTTTTGGAGTTCAGCCTCAACTCCTTCCTTTAGCTGCTGCTTCTTAGTCTCTCTCATCTACAGTACATAGATCTTATTACTTAGTTTTTGTTTGGCCATGAAAGCATGATTAGTTAGTTTGTTTACAGAAAGCTCTAATGATTTTCTTTTTCCCTCACCATCTGGATCCTCAAAATTCACTTTGTATAGACAGATGAAAGAAATTTCTATTTGGAGGTGTATCCCAATTTGCAACGAATCTTCATCTCCCTCTCCCTCCCAATTTTCAAGGATCAAAAAATGAAAGTTATGTCTGATAGACTTCATCAAATTGAATGTTATGTTAGATTCTGTAAGATGAGAATGAAGAATGATATATACTCCAAGTCCAAGAACCATGCTCAAAACAGCCAATACAGGGCATACTTTAGAGAATTTGTTAGAAAGGGATAATTTTAATATTAGTCCTATTTTCGTCGGGGTAATTAAACGCAATAATGGCATAACCAACATGATCAAAATTTGTTGTCTACCAAAATACACTCATAAAAATTATATCCTTTGAGAATCATTCAGGTATGAAACTGAATGCTGGAAGATATAGGTTTTTGCTAACCTCTGGAATTGAAGGGGATTTTGAAACATAACTTTTCGTCTCAAGATGAGGAGCAAACTTCTTGTTCGGACAAACGACTTGAGAAAATATCGACAGAGTTGAAGACTCCACGATCTTCTTCCATACTGTATTAATATATACTCTGGAGCTACATATCATTTTTATCTATAATATTTAGTTTTTTATGATACATAATTTATTTAATATGTAAAAGGTGGTGGATTTTATGATCGTTGAAAAAAGAAAACGATACTCGAAATCTACTTAGTGTGTGATGAGCCTCAACAAATTTGAAGGTGGTCTTAAGAAAGAATAGATGACCTATTGTCAGAGCATTTGAATGAGTAGGCATACATTTCCTCTTTGATTTTTGCCTCTTGTGACCACACCATTTTTTCATTAACCTATAGCCTGTAAAGAAGAGTGACACTACTTAGCTACTTGGACTATATATTGGCATTATGAGTCCAAATTAAGGATTTGAAGATAAAATTTGGCATAGAGAAGATGAGCTTGACTCAAACATGGCGGGGGTTCAACTTTAGACCAAACTAGTTGTTCAATAGTCAAAGTCAATGTCCTCATCTTAATTATTCTCCGAAAAGACTTCGAGGATTTCAATTTTATAAAAATATCGATAAAATTTTATATAAGATATTATGTTAATAATTTTTTTTTTTGGAAAGAGTATGACAATGGAAATTTTACTAGAGTATTTGGTTATTATCAATAGTGAAAATCTACTATTGCTTTAAAAAGTAGAGAACAATTACCTAGATGTGGGTATAATGTGTAGGTAGATAGAAGGGGGACGACTAAGCTTTTTGAAACGGGAGTTCACATGTCCGTGTAGGATGAAAGATTGAACCTCTAACCTCTAAGAAAAGGAGTAAGAATATAATCATTTAAGTTAAATATGAGCTCTTGATCTTGAATTAAATTGATATTCAAGCCAACGGAGAGTTTATTTAGATATAGAAATAGATTTACCATTCATCACTTGAGAAGGGTTGAAATGTTTATGAACCAAAGCAAATTTTATATACTTCTGTGATACTTCTTCATTTTCTTGTTGTGAACATATTCACAAATTTTGGAGTTGGGTATCATAAAACTAAATTAAAAAACTCATCACCCTTTCTAAAATAGGATCATCATGTTGGAACAATGGGACCTCCCTTCTAAAAACCTTAGACCTTGAATTCACATAGTTTTGCTTCTTTCGCTTTACCCGATTTTTTTTCAACAATGTGTTTACGCGTTATTATAGATTACTTTTTGTTATCGATTTGTAGGAGTCGGTCATCATGAACGTTCAACCTAAATGAAGGCATAAGTGTGTAATAACCATTAAGCTATGCTCAGGGCATTGGCTCAGTAGAAAGATTAATTATTTAAATATTGAATATGTTGTATCCTTTACTTATGTACCATAAGTCTGTCCTCGCTTCTAAAACCATGTTAGGATTACCAATAGATCAAATAAGAAGAAAAGAAATTATGATTCATATTAAAAAAATAAACTTAGAACGAGTTTCACCTCCTTTTTATTGGAAGCACTTCTATTCAGATAACCCTCCTTGAAAAAAGTTTTAAAATTGATCTAAAAAGTATTTAGGAAGTTATACTAAACACGCTCTAAATTAACAATTTTGGCTTAAAAACAAAAATTAATTAGTTAAAAGGTGTTGGGAAAATACAACAAAAAGTCTTATGTTAGTGAATGAGAGTAAGATCTTGGGTATAAGCGATCTCTATTAATTGTTACGAGCATTTTTGGCTAAAATCAAAAGAAAAATGACTAGAATTTATGTCTAAAGTTGACAATAGCATCCTACCATCGTGTAAATATGGAGAGAATCTTTTGTCGGGTTTGTGATAGGTTTGAATGGAACATGAAAATTGAAGAGATGATTGTGTTTTTTCATCAAAGACGTGTTGAGATGTACTGTGATCTGACCACATGCATGATTGATCATACCAATAACAGAAACAATAAAAAAAAAAAACTGTGTTTGTGTTTGGGATAATGTATCACACACTGACTTTTAGCAGCCTTTTTACAAACACATTAACATTTCAGACTCACCTAATTATTCTTTTCGAAGACACCCCAAATGGCAAACTGCCAATTCTCTCTCTCTCTCTCTCTCTCTCTCTCTCTCTCTTCTTTTGGGAGACACCCCAAATGGCAAACCTTTTGGGGAGAGACCCCAATTGGCAAATTCTTCCAAATTTCATCTTCAATGTTATATACGACGGTTTGATACAAGTTCAAAATGATCGGTCTAGAATATAGAATTGACAATCACGTTGTTCGAGAGTCTCGAATAATTTGTTCTTTCTTGGAAAGATATATAAAAAATCTCAAGACCCCAATTGGCAATTTCTTCAAATTTTGATTATATGACGGTTTGATACAAGTCCAAAACAATATGTCATTTTTTAAAGTCTCTCCTACAGAATATAGAACTGTGAGCCACGTTGTTTCAATCTCTCAAAGAGATCTCAAATGGCAACGAGAGGCGTCAATGTTTCTCGCCTTTTCCCTCCCACTCTTAGAAATCCTCTTCTCTGGAGAAATTATTCAATGTTATAACACCATTCAATGGAAGTCTAAAATATGTTGTCCCCTAATAAAATTTTAGGAAAATTTTCGATACTACGAAAATATTTACTCCTATTCAGATTATAATTTTACGTTATTAATAATTCTTCAATATTTATAGATCCTATAACGTTGATGTGGCAGATGGTGATTAGTAGTAGTACCATAAAATTTACCCATTCAACACTACATAATATGGGGAGCTAAATACATTATTATTCCAACCTCTTAAATAATTTTTGAGAACTCAAAAGGGCCAAAGAGAGCCACATGCTCTATCTCTCTCTCTCTCTCTCCACGTGGCAAAATGGATATGAAGAAATAAAAGGATATGAAGATCATTGACCAAATTTGCACCATGGAAATGAATTATACACAAGCTAAGGAACATGATGCTGTAGGGAGAGATGTGTTGCAAAAAGAACTTATCCTTTTGTGCTAAGATGATATATAATTCCCATCCCATATTTCGTTTGCATTATTATATATCGTGGTGGAAAACACTAACCAGACGAGAGATGCCATCTAGACGAGATATTTTAGAAGATATTTTAGACTTCGTCGCTGGACACGTTACTCGTTGAGTAAATTTTTTGGTTCAATAGTAGTTTAATAGGTTGTCCTGTAGATAAAAATCATAAAGGCACATTTTGCAACTATTCCTAATTCTTTTTATAAATTGTCATATGTGAATAGTGTTAAAGTATGAAGAAAAAATTAAATATATTATAATCTATGTTTTGGGTGTAGTTTAACATGATATTAGAAGGGTGGATGTTGTACTCTAATCCCATGTTATTTTATCTAATTTCTAAACCCACGAGTGAGGAAGATTTACTAACCGATAGGTTGAATAGAGAGATTTTATTTTTTTATTCGTACTTTAAAAAATAGGGTGCTATTGTTTTTTAATTTATTTTTATATTCTACTTGAACAAAATTAAGTATACGTACGTTGCAATTCTCTCTCTAACATGAAGGAATGACTATATATAATAATTGAAATTAAATATTGCAAAATAGTAGTTTAAAAGAATAATTTCAAATATAGCGAGAAGTAGAGAATGACACGTATGAAATTGGTGATTACTATAATATTATAGTCAATCAAGATACTAACTTGAACATAGCTTAACTGATTAAAGCATATATTTTATACCACAATGTTGTGTGTTCGAATCTCCCTATCTCACCTTTTTGCTGTACATCCCCAAGAAAAAAAAATCAATATTTGGGTTCACATCATCAATTATATAAATAAATTATTATAACATAAAATAAAAAAATTTTCAAAATTTTCTAGTCAATACGAACGTAGTTCAATGGATATATATATATATATATAATACTTATTACCAAGATCTGTTCAATTTCTACCTCACAATTATTGAACTCGATAACAAAAATAGTCAACTTTTTTTTTTGAAAGTTTGATATTTTTCATCTTAACTTAATCTAAAACGGAAAGTTACCATTCATGTATGATAAGAGGGAGAAGAATCACCATCCTCTGAAATATTACAAATTTCTTTCATCTTTGACAAAATATATTATTGATAATCATTTTTTTATCATTAATAAAATATGCTATTTATATATCTCATCACTGATATACCTATACCATTGATACATTTATAATTATTTATGTTAATCAAATTTGCTATTATCGCAAAAACTACTCGAATTTAAGAAAGCTGTAATCAGGGATCAAACCCTCAGCTTTGAGTGAAACACTCTTTTTTATATATATATAAATAAATAAATGTAAGCTTGATTTCCTACTAATTTTAAGAGTATATATCCAAATCCACCCATGAATCAATGCTTCTAATTATATTAGGGTCTAGATAACTAATGGAGAAGAATTCTAAAAATAGATACTTAATTATTTATTTCTTAATAAAGACCCAACATAAACACAAGTATTAGTGGCTTCCTAACCGTAAATTATAGAAATATAAATAATTATGGGGGCAAGAAGGAAAGAACACTCAAAATAAAATTATATTAAACATAAGTTTGATTTATACAAACC